TGCCCTGCCAGCTCAGGATCCCTGTGCCCTGCCAGCTCAGGATCCCTGAGCCCTTCAGGTCACACTGTGCCCATCCTTTGCTTGGGGACAGGCTCAGCTGGGACTCACAGGCAGCATTTACTGCCAAGACTGTAAAGTACAGAGAGAGCTGGGCAGCTCTTGGTGCTGTGAAGATCACACCTTGATCCTGAGGCAGGACTGTGCCTCAGGCATGTGCTGTGTCCTTGGGAAAACCAAGGAGAGAAGGGAGTTGGGGAGCATTCCTGCCACAGAGGGGTGGAGTGGGGTGTGGTGGGGGCCCTGCAGCCCATGCTGGCCTTCCCTCTGCGCTTGACTCGCCCAGCAGATTCTTCTGGGAGCCAAAATCCACGTTAACCCCGAGCTCTTCCCCCTGCCCAGGTCATTGGGATGCACTACTTCTCCCCGGTGGATAAGATGCAGCTGCTGGAAATCATCACCACAGACAAAACCTCCCAGGACACGGCGGCTTCCGCCGTTGCTGTTGGCCTCAAACAGGGCAAAGTCGTCATCGTGGTGAAGGTGAGGGGACAGGGCACGAAAAACAGGAGCTGGGCCAATAAACACAAGGGCCTGTGCTCTGACAGGAGGGTGAAACCTGGCTCTGGACACGCTGGGAACAGCTGCTCCTGCTGGGAAGTGAAAAGGGAGGTCAGAAGGGGGCAAGAGCCCACATGATCCTCACGTGTCCTCGGGAACAGCCGTGGAAGGCCACAGGAGGAGCTGCCAGTCCTGCCCCACACAGGGACAGGGGCTGCCCTGGCATCCCACACGTCTGGGTGTGCCTGCACAGGGCTGCCAGCACCCCAGGTCCCAGCAGGGTGTGAGGGCAGTGAGCAGCAACCCTGCTCTTCCTGGGCTGAATCTTGGGTGGGAGGGACAGGAATACAGGTACAGAGGATTTAGTTGGGATACTGGGGAAGGAATCCTTCCCTGTGAGGGTGGGGAGGCCCTGGCAGCTGGCAGAGAAACTGTGGCTGCCCCTGGATCCCTGGAAGTGTCCCAGGCCAGGTTGGACAGAGCTTGGAGCAACCTGGACTGATGGAAGGTGTCCCTGTCTTTTCCCTCATGCCTGAGGTTGCAGCAGTGCTGAGCAGGTTGTTCCTGCACTGCCAGGAAAACTGGCTTGTCCAGAAGTGCTCTGGGCATCTCTGAAGGCCAGTGGGGATGCAGTGCTGCTTCCCTGAGCCTCATCCCCACCCCAGCTGCCTCCCTGAAGGGCAGTTTGCAGCTCCTCTGTTGCTTCCTGGCTTTGTGGGGAGTATCAGAGGTGAAACAACTGGATTTTGCTGGTTTCCCTTGTGCTGAACACCCTTTCCCTCATCAACCTGTTGGGCTTGCTGAAGCAGCAGCCTGCCTGGGACCTCCAGGCACTAGTTCAAATGAAAACACAGTGATGGGAACTTCCAGAGAGTAAGTTCATGGGAGTGTTCAAACACTGCTGAACCCTACAGGGAAAAAATACCCTATTCCAGCAGTCGGTAACATAGTGTTAGAAATGGGGTTTGGGGTGTCTGAGCTGCAGCCTGGGCTGTGAAACACAGCTCTGGTGCTGCCAGGAGGCCGTGCTCCTGCAGCTGGGACTCACCTGGCTCCCTGCTGTGCTCCTCTTCCCTAGGATGGGCCTGGATTCTACACCACCAGGTGCCTGGGGCCGATGCTGTCGGAGGTGGTCCGAGTCCTCCAGGTGAGTGTCCACCAAATAGTCGTGGAAACTCTGCTTCTTCCCTGAGCAGGGCTGGGCCCAGCCTGGCTGTGGGCAGGAGGGGAGGTGGGTGACCAGCCCTGGGGCTCGTGGTTGTCCCCATTCTGCCCCTGGCTCCTGTCCCAGTCCCACAGCCTGTGGGGCTGCTCGCAGCGCGTGTCCCCAGAGCGGTGAGAGCTCTCTGCCCCACACTGGCTGTCCAGGACCTCACCCCTACATCCCATCACTTCCCTTCTAATCCTGCAGGAGGGCATTGACCCAAAGAAGGTAGATGCCATCTCCACAGCCTTCGGGTTCCCGGTGGGAGCCGCCACGCTGATCGACGAGGTGGGCGTGGACGTGGCCACGCATGTGGCCGAGGACCTGGGCAAGGCCTTTGGGGAGCGCTTCGGGGGAGGCAGCATCGACCTCTTCAAGCTCATGGTGCAGAAGGGCTTCTTAGGTGAGGGGCTAAGCTGTTTCCACCTGAAGGGTTCCCCCCTTTGCCCCCGGGAATGGGTCAGGAGTCCCTCCCGCAGAAACGGCGGTGTTTGTCTTCTGGACCTAGAGAAGGCGTTAGGGCCTGGCACCGTGGCAGCATCTTGCCAAGGGGTCAGGTGGAGGTGGGTCCCTTCCCTCTGGCCGTGCTCTGCAGTGCAGGGTGCTGCTGGAGGATGTGCCGTGGGAGCAGGAAGCGGAGCTGCAGGGAGATCAGAGGCGAAGGTGTCAGGAGGGAAGGGGACACGTGGCAGGATGTGACTGGGCTCCTTTCATCCCCGGCAGGTCGCAAGGCAGGGAAAGGCTTTTATGTTTACCAGGAGGGAGTGAAGAACAGGAGTGTGAATTCCGGCATGGATGAGATCCTGGCACAGTTCAAGGTGCCGGCGAATCCTGATGTGTGAGTACTGGGAGAGACTGAGGGGGGGTGGCTCAGAGCCTGCCCGGATCAGAGCCTGCCCAGCTCCTGGTGCCTCTGAGCAGCAGCACGAGGGGCACTGGGGAGGCCACGATGCTGCCAGGGCTGGAGCCCCTCTGCTCTGGAGCCAGGCTGGGAGAGCTGGGGAAGAGAAAAATCCAGGGAGACCTTGGAGCCCCTTCCAGAGCCTAAAGGGGCTCCAGGAGAGCTGGAGAGGGACTGGGGACAAGGGCTGGAGGGACAGGACACAGGGAATGGCTTCCCACTGCCAGAGGGCAGGGAGAGATGGGAGATTGGGAAGGAATTGTTGGCTGGGAGGGTGGAGAGGCCCTGGCCCAGAGAATCTGTGGCTGCCCCTGGATCCCTGGAAGTGTCCAAGGCCAGGCTAGACGGGGCTTGGAGCCACCTGGGCTGGTGGAAGATGTCCCTGCCCATGGCAGTGGGTGGCACTGGATGAGATTTAAGGTCCCTTCCCACCCAAACCAGTCTGGCATTCCATGACATTGCCCAACACAGAGCTTGATCAAGCTTTTGCCTTTATTCCAAATCCATCTCCACACAATCCTGAGTGATGTGCTCCAGGGGGCCCTGCCTGATCAGGGGGCTTGAAGCAGACAAGCTCCAGTGGTCCCTCCCACCTCGAACCATTCCATGGTTCTCACTTGCCCGCTTCAGGACACGTCCCAGCTCTTCTTCCTGCTCCTCCTGAGGACAGGGACACTCCCACGGGGGCCACCCTCCCCCCCCCGTGTGCCAGCCTGGGGTGCTCTGCCCCCACCACTGCCCCCCTGGCCAGCCCTGACGGGCTCTGTCCCCGCAGCTGCTCGGAAGAGGACATCCAGCTGCGCCTGGTGACGCGCTTCGTGAACGAGGCGGCGCTGTGCCTGCAGGAGGGCATCCTCAGCAACCCCATCGAGGGAGACATCGGCGCCGTCTTCGGCCTGGGCTTCCCACCCTGCCTGGGAGGTGAGTGCCATGGGCTTGGCTCGAGAATCGCAGAATCACAGAATCAGCTGGGTTGGAAGGGACCTCCGAGATCATCAAGTCCAACCCTTGATCCAGCACTGCTGTGGTTACTAGGCCCATGGCACTGATGCCACATCCAGTCTCTTTTTAAAAATCTCTGGGGATGGAGAATCCACCCCTTCCCTGGGCAGCCCATTCCAATGGCTGAGCACCCTCTCTGTAAAAAAATTCTGATATCCAACCTAAACCTCCCCTGGCACAACTTGAGACCGAGCCCTCTTGTCTTGCTGATGGTTGCCTGGGAAAAGAGACCAACCCCCCCTGGCTCCCCCCTCCTGTCAGGGAGTTGTAGAGAGTGAGGAGGTCTCCCCTGAGCCTCCTCTTCTCCAGGCTGAACAGCCCCAACTCCCTCAGCCTCTCCTCACAGCACTTGTGCTCCAGTCCCTTCCTCAGCCTCGTTGCTCTCCTCTGGACCTGCTCCAGCCCCTCAATGTCCTTCCTGAACTGAGGGGCCCAGAACTGGACCCAGCACTCCAGGGGTGGCCTCACCAGTGCTGAGTACAGGGGCAGAATCACTTCCCTGGACCTGCTTCACCCCGGGCTGTGGCCGTGTGGCAGGGCAGGAGTTAAGGCTGGGTTTGAGCTGCAGCCTTAAGGAAACAGCCTCAAGTTGTTTGGGTTGGATATTAGGGGAAATGTCTTCCTGGAAACGGTTGTCCAGCCCTGGCACAGCTGCCCAGGGCAGTGGTGGAGTCCCCGTCCCTGGAGGGATTTAAAAGCCCCATGGATGTGGCACCTGAGGACATGGGTCAGTGGTGGCCTTGGCAGTGCTGGGGATGGTTGGACTCAGCGTCTTAGAGGGCTTTTCCAACCTAAATAATTCTTTGACTCTGTCTCCTGCCACTTGCCTGGGTGAGCAGGGGTTGTGCTGGAGCCCAAGGACCCACCTTCACCCGCTGCCCTCACTGATACAGCAGAGCTGGTAACCTCAGCTGTGCTTCTCCAGCCAAGGGACTTGCTGGGCCCAACCAGGACCACGGACCAAGTTCCCTGGGACCCAGCTGTGACCTGGCTGGGTGGCCATGGCTGTGGCCTGGGCCATGGATGAGGCACGAGCTGGAGGTTGGGTCACAACTGGAGGCCACCACGGGCTCTTGGGCACAAAGTGGTGCTTCTGCCACAGGCCTGGTGCTTTCCCTCCTTGAGCCAAGCTCAGGCTGTGGGAGCAGCCCCAAGGGACTTCCTACGAGAGCATGGGGTGGCAGGACAAGGGAGAATGGGTTCATTTTCAGAGGGCAGGGAGAGATGGGATATTGGGAAGGAATTCCTGGCTGGGAGGGTGGGGAGGCCCTGGCCCAGTTGCCCAGAGAAGCTGTGTCTGCCCCTGGATCCCTGGAAGTGTCCAAGGCCAGGTTGGACAGGTCTAGTGGGAGGTGTCCCTGCCCATGGCAAGGGGTTGGAATGAGAGAAGCTTTAAGGTCCCTTTCCAGAACCATCCCACGATTCTGTGATTACCCACATCCCAGCCTGTGGGGTCAGGCCCTGCCCAGTGCGGGTGGGCAGCGAGCAGGGTCCTGGGTTACCCTGACAAGAGACTTGGGGGGTCTGCCACCCCCTTGGTGCCTGTCCCTCCCGTGCCAGCGCCGTGTCCCTGTGCCCGCAGGTCCCTTCAGGTTCGCCGACTCCTATGGAGCCCGGCAGCTGGTGGACAAGCTGCGCAAGTACGAGGCCGTCTATGGCAGCCAGTTCACGCCGTGCCAGCTGCTGCTGGACCACGCCAACAACCCCAGCAAGAAATTCCACCAGTGAGGGACCCGGTGACGCGCCCACAGCTCCCCGGGGCTGCGCGGCGTTCCGGGACACCCCATTGTGTTCCGGGACACCCCATTGTCCGTAGGTTAATCTCCAAAGCCCCGGGGGAGGAAGGGGAGGAGGGAGGGGGGCACCGGGCTGCCTCATGGCTTGTAGTCATTTCAAGTGCCTTATCAGCCACTGTGTGTTGGGCACCTCCGTCCCGTGCCAGCCTGGGCCAGCCTCTCCGTGCTGGGGAGGGGATTTCTGCTGCCTTCGCCTCCATGCTGCGGCCTCCAGGGCTCCCAGTCTGGCCAGTAGCATCCAGCACGTGGCTGGAGCCGAGGCCTTGCCTTTCCATAAACATCTACCAAAATAAAGCCCCGTCTCCTGGGTTTGGACTCCATGCCTGCTTCTCCTCCCGTGTCCTTGGGCAGCGCCGAGGGAGAAGAGTCGGGAATAAAAGCATCCAGGCACTGCCCTGGGAACCCCTCCCACAGAGGGGCTGCAGGGCTCACAGAGGGGCTGTCGGAGGGGCAGGTTGGCAGCAGAGCAGGGTGGCAGCTCTGTCACCTCTGCCATCACTCAGGGGCTGTGAGGAGCCTCTGGCTCCGTCTGGCCCCGAGCGCTGCCACGGGCGATCCCGGCGGGAGATCCCGGCAGATGGACCCGCCTGTAATTGCAGATCAAGCAGCCAAAGGCCAGAAGGGTCCCCCGTGGGGAGAGCTCAAGTTAAACTAAAAGGTTTTAAATCTCTGGGCACCTGTCACTGGCCCACCCCCCCTTCCATCCCTGGCTTCCTTTCCAGCTTCCAGGCGTTCTCCTGCGCTGTGGCAGGGCTGGGCCCGGGAGGTGCTGCTCTGCCTGTCGCCTCTCTGCTTGTTTCTCAAAGCCCCAGGGCAAAACAGCTCCAAGAGTAACGTCTTCCCTTGAAGGAGCCCCTTCCCAGGAGGTGGGAAGGGTCTGCAAGGATGGGAGAGACCCCCAGAGCCTCCCTCCCCACCTGTGCCCCCTTTCCCTCTTCCCCGAGCAAGAGCCTTCTCCAGCAGCTCGTTACTCCCGTACGTTTATTGTGCTAATCCACAAGGATTAAGTTAAACCAGTCAACGCAAAATCCAGTGTCTTCCAGCCCGTTGGGGCCAAAATTACTGTCCAGTGTTAAAATGGGAAGGGGGGGAGGGCTGGGCAATGGGGCCGAGCTGCCGGGGGGAGGAGAACCCCCCGTGCTGCCCCATCGGAGCAGGGATGGGAACGGGGCGAGGTCCGGGCGCCTCGGGGACCTCCCGGGGCAGGGGGTCCCCAGCGCGGGGTTAGATCTTGGGGCGCCAGCCCTTGATGAACTGCATGATCTTCTTCACCTGGAGCTTGGTGAGGCGGAAGTCGTCGGCCAGGATCTCCTCGCTGAGCTGCACGAAGATGCTGCCGTCGATGCGCTCGCGGGCGAAGAAGCTCACGACGTCCTCGGAGAGGCCGATGAAGCGCAGGCACTTGGACACCTCCTCCAGCGACAGGGCCGACAGGTCGGCGGGGGGCAGCCAGGCCGGGCCGTCCCCGCCGGGCCGGGGGGCGGCCGCCGAGGCCCCCCCGTCCCCCCGCGCCGCCGGAGGCACCTCGATGACTCCCTGGGCCAGGTACAGGCGGGCCACGCCCTCGGCCCCGCGCAGGACGGCGGGGGACAGCGGGGACGCCCCCCGGATGACGATGCCGTCCCCGTCCAAACCCTTGGGGGGCCGGGGAGGGGCCGCCGGCTCCTCGAGGGGGGTGAAGGGCTCCGGCGAGGAGGAGGAGGGTGGTGCGGCCGGGGCCGAAGGTGCTTTGGACCACTCGGGGCTCTCCGGCCACTCGGCCGGGCCGGCGAAGGGGTTGAGGGCCCCGAAGGGGGCAAAGCGCTTTTGGGGGTGCGGGGGCTTGAGGCGGGGGCAGCTGCGGAAGGGCTTCAGGGGCGGGTCGGCCCCCGGCAGCGGCGTGGAGCAGGCGCTGCCCGCCCCGGCGCCCGGCTCGGCGTATGCCCAGGGCTCCGACCAGGAGCCGGGCGGCGGCTGGGCCGCGGCGGGGGGCAGCGGGCGCCCGGGGGGCTCCCCGGCCTTGCAGTCGCCCCAAGTGCAGGGGTAGCAGTACAGGGAGTAGGCGTCGGGCGAGGGCGAGCCGCTGCCGCTCCGCGGGGCCGACCTGCCGGGGAAGGGGAGCCCCGTCACCATCGCCCCGTCCCCACCGGGGACCCCCCGCCCCCGGCTGTCAACCCCCCAGCCCGTCCCCTCCCCGGCACCGCCACGTCCCCGGAGCCACTCACCCGTCGAGGAGCCCCGAGGAGTAGTAGGAGAGGCTGGGGCTGGGCGAGGGCGCGGGCGCTGCCAGCTTCGGGCAGCGCAGCGGGGCCGGGGGGCTGCAGGGGCCCGGGGCGCGGCTGCCCCGGGGCGGCACGGGGGGCGCGTTCAGCAGCCGGCACTCCTCCTTCACCTGCAAACGGGGGCGAGCGCCGTCAGACCCCCGGCAGTCAGACCCCCGGCTGTCAGACCCCCCGGCAGTCAGACCCCCGGCAGTCAGACCCCCGGCAGTCAGACCCCCGGCAGTCAGATCCCCGGGCCGTCAGACCCCCGGGCAGCGCCACCGGAGGGTGATGGGGGGGCTCGGGGGCAGCCGGCCCTGGTGGAGCCGTGAAGCTCCGGGTGCCAGCGGGGAGATCTGGGACCCGTGCGCTGCCTGGCGGGGGAAGCCCCCAAAAATGTGGGTACTCCGGTGGTGAAGGGGAGCCTGAAATTTTGGGTACTGTGTTGTGCGGGGAAGACCAGAGGATTTTGGGTGCCCCGCGGTGCGGGGAAGCCCAAGAGCTTCAGGTCCCCCCGTGGTGCAGAGCCCTGGGGAGCGGGGACCCCGAGGCCACAAGGGTGTCCCTGAGGATTCGGGTGCCCCGTGGCGATGGGGAGCCCTGGGGAACCGGGGACCGAAGAGGATTTGGGTGACCAAGCAGAGCTGGGGAGGGACCCCCAGGCCGGGGGACAAGGCTCGGAGCCCGGGGAGGGGGTCGGGCTGGCCCTGCCGCGGGACTGGTTGTGCCGTGGGGGTCACCGAGCCGTGAGCTGGCCGAGGGACCCCCAGGGCTGCCATTCCCCACCCCTGGGGACAGGACCGCGGCTCTTACCGCCTCCGATTTGGGTGGCACCGGGGGCGGGGTGTCCCCGCGGGGCTCGTCCCCGGGGCGGTGCGCGGAGCCCAGCGCGGGGACGGCCCCGAAGGACACCAGGTCGGGCCGGCCGCCGGTGCCGCCCAGCTCGCAGCAGCCCTCCGGGCCGGGATTGCTCCAGAGCTCCTCGTAGGGAATCTCCAGCGGCTCCTGAGTCCTGAACTCGGGCTCGGCCCAGTCGGGCGTCATGTACTCGCGCTCGGGGTCGGGGAAGTCGGGCAGCGGCGGGCGGGGGGCGGCCCCGCCGAGGCCCCGCGGTCCGTGGCAGCGGGCGGGGGGTTCCCGGGGGGGCTCCCGGGAGCCGCAGGCACAGAGGGAGAGGCGCTGGAGGGGCTGGCTGAGCTCGTCGCGGGCGCAGGCGGGCAGGCAGAGCCGCAGGCGCCGCGGGCTGGCACATTCCTCCAGCAAGTCCGGCTTGGCCTCCCGCACGGCCCGCGAGTACTCGTCGGGGTTGAAGCGGTCCTGGCAATACGCGGCGCTGTCCCGCAGCAGCTTCTCCAGCTGCGGGTCCCCGGCCAGCAGCCCCTCGGGCAGCTGGAAGCGGGGCATGTCGGTCAGCAGCAGGAAGTGGAAGGGCACCAGCTCGTCGCGGCGCAGGATGCAGCACAGCACCACCGTCTTGGAGATGATGCTGACCAGCTTGTAGCAGTGCCCCTCGCGGATGGCGTGCAGGTCGTAGGGGTTGCGGGCGGGCCGGCTCGGCACGGCCACGTTCACGGGCAGCCGCACCTTCTCGATGATGCTGCGGATGGTGTGCTCGCCCTCCTGCAGCCGCAGCTCCAGCGGGCTGCGCGTGCTGAAGCGGCCCTTGCACTGGAAGGGCAGGCTCAGGCTCTCGTTGGTGCGGTGGTTCATGCAGATCAGACACGGCATCTTGCCCTTCACCTGCCGCGCCCCCGCCGCCGGCGCCGCCTTGCCCAGCTTGCGCAGGAGGGTGTTGAAGCGCGACTTCTCCTTCACGGTCTTGGCGCAGAGGATCTCCGCCTGCCCCATCAGCGTCAGCTCGTCCCCCGCGTTCAGCGTGAAGTTGTAAACCTCGCTGTCCTCGCTGAACTCCCCCGACACCACCTGCCCGGGGCAGCCCGACGTGAGAGAGAGAGAGAGAGACCCTGCCCTGCCGGGGCCCCTGGTGTCCCACTGCCATCCCTGACATCCCACCACTACCCTGTAATGTCCCACCACCATCCCTGACATCCCACCACTATCCTGGGTTGTAATGTCCCACCACCACCCCTGACGTCCCACCACTGTCCTGTAATGTCCCACCACCATCCCTGATGTCCTGCCACTATCCCTGATGTCCCACCACTACTCTGTAATGTCCCACCACTACTCTGTAATGTCCCACCACCATCCCTGGCATCCCACCACTACCCTGTAATGTCCCACCACCATCCCTGGTGTCCTGCAACCTACCCCTGACATCCCACAATTACCATGTAATGTACCACCACTCCCTGCTGTCCTGTTGTTCTCTCCTAACACCCCATCAGTGACCCACAGAGTCCCACCACACCCCTTGGCATCCCACCACCATCCCCTGGTGTCCCACCACCATCCCCTGGTGTCCCACCACCATCCCCTGGTGTCCCACCGTCCTCTCTCGATGTTCCACCACTGAGCTCTTCTTTCCCCCACACCCCTCTTATTTCCACCACCCTGCCCTGATGTCCCACCACTGCCCCCACTGTCCCACGACCTACTCCTGATGTCCCACTGCCACCTCTTGATGCCCCACCACGAGCTGTTCATGACCCACCACCACTCCCTGCCCTCCCACTGTTCTCTCCTGACAACCCACCACTGACACACGAAGTCCCACCACGTGCCCTGACGTCCCGCCACCATTCCCTGCTGTCCCGTTGTCCTCTCCTGATGTCCCACTATCATCTCCTGATGTCCCACCACCAACCCCTCCTGCCTCACCCCCATCACTGTCCCCAGTGTCCCCTGACTTCCCACCACCACTCCCTGCTGTCCCTGCAGTGTCCCCTGCTGTCCCTGCCATGTCCCCTGCTGCCCCTGCAGTGTCCCCTGCTGTCCCTGCCATGTCCCCTGCTGTCCCTGCCATGTCCCCTGCTGCCCCTGCCATGTCCCCTGCTGCCCCTGCCATGTCCCCTGCTGTCCCTGCCATGTCCCCTGCCATGTCCCTGCCATGTCCCCTGCTGCCCCTGCAGTGTCCCCTGCTGCCCCAGCCCCGTGCCCCGCTGTCCCCACGGACCTTG